AAAAACTCTTCATGGGAATAAATAAATAAATAAATAAATAAATAAGGCATTATTTACTCAACCTACTCATGTCATCCCTAACGCATATGACTTAATAAATGTTATAATTATCTTATAATTTAAATATGTAATTTAATGTGCACAAGTCATTCTGACTTTTTAGAAATGAATTTTTATCAGTTTTTTTTTTTTGGGTCACTGTATGATTTTGCAGTAACAGAGAGAACAGCCAGGACATCTACAAAAATATGTGATCAACAGAATAAAAGAAAATCATACAAGTTTGGAATGAGAGTAAAACTACCTTGCACACATACTGGCACAAACTACCTTGGATACATTTTTTTTTTTTTTATGAAACCCAGATGACTACAAAACCACTAATAGACGCATTTAAGCAAACAGGGTGGAACTATGAACATAAGCGACTTTACTGCAATACAGGGAGCTTTGTAAAGTTGACGTCAGAACGAGGCAAAGTAGCTCACAGCTAAACACAAAGAAAGAATCAGAGGGAATTACGTAGGCAGACGTCCAGGAACAGGACAAAGTAAACTGTACAGGTGAAATGATGAAAAGGCAGCACAGAGACACACAAATGAAGAACGAGAGGGAAAAAAGGGGAGAAGAAAAGCATGAAAGCAAAAAGATCAGTGGTGTGACAATTATGGAAAATTCTGAAACGGCAAATCAAACAAAATACCAACTCAACCTCAAATATCAGGAAAAACGTGCACGTACCAACTCATTGAGATGAAGCTATATTTGAAGATTTGAAAATTTGATGTCTTAAAACCCTGTATTTCAGTGATTCATTCGGCTGGAAATCATCGCACCTTTACAGGTAACACTGCCTGGCCATCACAGACAGTTCTAGAGAAGCACATACAAAGCTATCCCATGTCTAAACTATTGTTTGTATTGAGAAGAGCCGTCAATGCATTGAAAAGCTGCGGCTGGGACACACCACACATGTGATCTCCAGCCAATCAGATCTCTCCTGTGCTCATGGTATGTTGAAAAGACTGGAAACACCAGCACACTCAAATCTCACTCCAGATTGTCCTTTTCAGAGATGTTTATCCACCCTTTGAGATAAATAAGAGGAGGACTGCACTCCTAATGTAACAGTGGATCATGTTATGTAACTCCAGTCATATCTAGGGAGCAGGGACCGGTTTCACCAGCTGTGCGCAACTTAGCCTAGTTTTGACGCAAAGGAGCACTAAGTTAGAACTAATGCATTTACACAAGCCTCCGACCAGGAGTAATGTTTGGAATAAAACAACAGATTGATTAAACGGCATCAATAAGCTCAAGTTATACTTGACAAACTTCAATCTTTTACACATATATGATAATGTTTACACTTGTTAATAAATTATTTTGTTAGTGACTCTTCAACATGAACCCAATCTAAGCAGCGCCCCTATTAGGGTTGGGCGAAATCTACCAAATTGGCATCAGATGATGTCTACAGTGAAACATCGCGATGGACGGAGACACTGGGGGACATTGAAAACAATTATATCATTAAAATACTTGAGCAGAAGTTGTATTAATGCTGTGAACATCCCATAATCATTAATAACTTACTGTAAGTATTTTTATATGCGAGTAAACTTCTGATGAGATGAAGGCAAAAATATCTAGTGGAAAATGAGAATGTGATGTTTTTAAGACTGCTATTGGATTATTGAGGGTACAGATCATATTATGCGATTATGCATTACTTTACACAGAGTTTACAACCTACTAGCTACATTCTACCTTAAAGGGATAGTTCACCCAAAAATGAAAATTAGCCCATTATTTACTCACCCTCAAGCCATCCTAGGCGTATATGATATCCTTCTTTCAAATGAATCCAATCGGAGTTATATAAAAAATTGACTTTGATCTTCCAAGCTGTTTAATGGCAGTCAGCGGGTGTTGCAGTGAACAAAGGCCTCCTGTAGCGAATCGATGCGTTTTTGTAAGAAAAATATCCATATTCAAAACGTAATAATCACTTTAATCTAGTTTGCGCCAACAGTTGTACACGGAAGCAGATCCAGGAGGATGACGTATGAGTTCAGCGTTGCGCATGCGCCGGTGAGTCTCATGAAAGCAACTTTTGTTTACAGGAGCAAAGGAAGCAAAGTTGTGTTACATTAGAAAAGGAAAACCAATCTCCTCTTGGCTTATATCGAAATCTTCTGACATTCTTCTTTACAAATCCTCGTTTCGTACGTCTAACTCGTGACCGTTGTTTTGTTTTGATCTCTCCCCTGCACTTCAGCATTTGTCACTTCTGAGTGGCGCATGTGCAACGCCGACCTCATACCTCATCCACCCGGAACTGCTTCAGTGTACAACAGTGAGCGCAAGCTAGATTAAACTGATTATTACGTTTTAAATAAGGTTATTTTTCTTACAAAAACACATCGATTCGCTACAGGAGGACTTTGTTCACCACCCCCGGAGCCGTGTGAGGCACTTTTTATTATGGATGGATGCGCTTTATTTCACTTCTTTTGGACTGATGAACTGCAACACCCGATGACTGCCATTAAACAGCTTGGAAAATCAAAGTCAATTTTTAATATAACTCAGACTGGATTTGTCTGAAAGAAGAAAGTCATATACACCTAGGATGACTTGAGGGCGAGTAATTCATGAGCTAATTTTCATTTTTGGGTGAACTAACCCTTTAAGAACAACTCGAAATGCAACCGAATAAAGTACAGAATTAGTTACAACCTGGCTAGTATTAGTAGTCACTAAGCCTCCAGTGTGGACTTTACGTTCCAGTTTAAGCAAGAACTTATGAACGGATGGGTACAACTCGACCCAAAATATCAGAGACTTGGGAACTTATTTTACTTCTAAGCAACCAATAAAAACCCACACAGCAACACACTGACACCAACTCCCAAACATAGCGTCATGGTGGTTAAACACCATTCACATTATCTTCATTATCAGTGGTCCACTTCACTGAACAAACAATTCTCCATTATCTTAAACTTAAACTTTCCATTTAAAGCATAAAAATTTAGGGTGTTTTTAGATCTGATCCAGACTAAGAAACAAGATCAGTGGATGAGCAAACAGCAGCCATTCTAAAAATCAAACTGAAATGTGATTGGCCCGCAGATGTTGCCCTGAGGGGATCTTACACTGAAACACACGGACCCCGTGGTCATTTACAGAGAGCCTGAGCAACCAGCTCCTCTGAGAAGCTGATAACATTGTTTAAACACAGAGCACAAAGGCAGCGCTGCCTGTTAGCTGTGACTTATTAACCCTGTGAAACCAATTACGCAAAGATCACACAGCTACAGAACAGACCAGTCACACAGAAACCAGCTCCTGAGTGATCTGGTGAAGACTGATTCAATCACAACACTATATCACAGAAACACAGATGTTGAGAGTTTAATTCATATGTATATCGTACCATTCAAAAGTTTGAGTTGGAAGCATGCTTTAATGTTTCTGAAAGAAGTCTCTTTTGCTCACCAAGGCTGCATTTATTTGATCAAAAATACAGTAAAAACAGTAATTTTGTGAAATGTGTTTACAATCTAAATAACTGTTTTCTATTTTAATGCATTTAAAAAAATAATTTATTCCTGTGATGCAAAGCTGAATTTTCAGCATTATTACTCCAGTCTTCATAAATAATTCTAATATGCTGATTTGCTGCTCAAGAAACATTTCTGATGATAAGTGTTGAAAACAGTCGTGCTGCTTAATATTTTTGTGGATGCATTGTTTTCAGGATTCTTTGATGAATACAAAGTTGAAAAGAACATCATTTATTTCTTTACTTTCACTTTTTATCATATGAATGCATCCTTGCTGAATAAAAGTATTATTTAAAAAAAAATACATTTCTGATGATAAGTGTTGAAAACAGTCGTGCTGCTTAATATTTTTGTGGATGCATTGTTTTCAGGATTCTTTGATGAATACAAAGTTGAAAAGAACATCATTTATTTCTTTACTTTCACTTTTTATCATATGAATGCATCCTTGCTGAATAAAAGTATTATTTAAAAAATAATCTTACCCTAAACTTTTGAACTTTTGGTAGTGTAAATGGTCTACAGAGAATCTGAAAATAATGTGTTGCAGTAAATCCCTACACCTAGTTATATGCAAAAGTAACAGCGATGCTTGCTCAACTTACAATATTAAACTGGACAGATTAATACTGGATTTTAAGCAAATATCCATTGGTACTGAAAAAAGTCTCAGAATGCTTAGTATGAACAATCACAATGGTTGCGCTCATCTTAGCAAACACCACTCACGGGGTCGTACCTGTATGAGCAGCTGCTGCTGTTCTGAGGTGGCCGTTTCAGAGAGGTCAGAGGTCAAACAGTGGCGCTGAAGGACAGAGTTGGGCAACGAGAGGAAGGAGCTCTCCTCCTCACCATCACTCATCAAGATATCCAGGGAACTCGCTGAAATTACAGAAAAGAGAATATTGTTAATTATTAATATTATTAAATATAAAATTGACTTAAAAATACTAAAGTTGAAGGACTGAAAAAAAACTAAAACTGAAGTAAAACTACAATACAAATTAAACAGAGGCCTAGTAACATTAAAAAATTGTGAAAATGACAAAAGCACAATGATTACTAAAATGTTACTAAACTAAAAATAAAAGCTAATTCAATATTAATAAATACTACAATAGTAAATAATGGATACTAAGGGTGCTTTCACACCTGGCCCGTTGTTTCGGAACCTAGCGCGTTTCCCCCCTTAGCTCGGTTTGTGCATATGTGAATCGGATCCGCGCCAAAACAATCGGTCCGAGATCGTCTGAACGAGGTGGTCTCGGCTCGATTGAAAACGAACTCTGGAGCGGTTCGGTTGTAGTGAGACAGCAATCCGATCTAACGGACCAAAAACAATCGGTCCGAGATCGCCTGAACGAGGTGGTCTCGGCTCGATTGAAAACGAACTCTGGAGCGGTTCGGTTGTAGTGAGAAAGCAATCCGATCTAACGGGCCAACGAACCAGGCTATATCACAATGTATAATGGGTAATTACGTAAGTACCATGAAAAGCATTAGCTTTGTTATTATGCTAATACTTCAAAATGAACCAGTGAATGTCTGTGGGTGAGCACGTCTTCGCCATTCAAAATCAAAGCGCACTTTTTCATTTTATAATGCCGTCTTATTGCTCTTCTTCCTAGAATGGAAGAAGAACAATCGATCTACAGGTGTGAAAGCACCCTAAAATAATGCTGGTCCAGATGACACAATGGCATTGTGGGAAATATACGTAGAGCAACTCAAAAAAATTATTTGTTCACCTGTTGAAGATGGCTAATTCTCATGAACAAACCAAGGAGATCTAGAGCGAAAGTCAAGATCTTCAGTAAATAATGGCTTAAATTTCAGTCTGTTCCTCACATGAAACCATTGTATGATTTCAGATGATTTGTAATATCTTTCTTTTTCGAAAAGGTCTGAACTGATTTGTGTGCATTCTGACCGCTCTTTCACGGAATCATCTAAAGCAGCAATAATGCAATAATGCCTCATTCAACGTTACTGCATAAAAACAGTTAATTTCTCTGTTTGTGCTACTTAATAGAAATAAAGTCCTTCAAGTTTGGAACAACATGAAGGTGCATAAATTACGTCAGAATATTAAGATTTGGGTAAAGTAATCCTTACTAGCTGAATATGCAGAGAACACATCAATCTGGTAAAGGTCCTGCAGGCCATCATTAACTAATGATAAGATAACAGCTTGCTGCAAGTGATGCATTAACCTGGATTTTAATACGGCCCTGAACCTCATCAAAAAACAACAATTACTGTTTTGTTTGTCAAACAGCTCTCTGTCACACTCACACGGATGAGACGTGCAGCCTCTCGCCGGTGCGGTTTACGATGACACAGCAGTAGAGCCGCTTTCGTAGAAGAGCATCAGACTGAACGCAAATCTGTCACCGCATCACTGCAAAAACCAGCCACCAACACTCAGCCTCGACATTTCCCTGATTTTCCTCTTTGTCTGCTTCCCGTTTTAGTCCTTTTTGGTCATTGTTTCTCACACAATCGCTGTGGCTGTTGTTATAATGTCCCGTGCAGCACACAGTGCATTATTTAGCACACCTACAAATTTTCAAGCACTGCTCTCATCTCTAAGGAGATTTACCCTTCCGTACCGGGACAGAACGCATGGTCTTCTCCGTTCGGTCCGAAACAGTCTGACTTTGTTTCTCCTTGTCAGTGGGTAAGAACACATCGCTTGCTCTCTCACCGATGACAGAGCCAGCAAGGGCTCACACACACACACAAAACACACACACCTCCCACATCCACTCAAACATTCAAACTATCCTCAGAAAAATGTTGCTACACCGGTTTTGAAGTCTACTCATGTGACAGTGCTTACCATCCAATGAGAGGTCTTTGTTCCAGAGCTCCTGCAGGCAGGGGGTGTGGCTGACGTCCCAGGTCTTTCGTGTGCCGTACATGACCACAGGGCCGAGCAGAACACACCGTTGGACCGGCTGTAAATACAGACCACATCCAATAAATACCCAACTAATGAACATCTGAGACCTGACAATTTTACATGGAGATTATACAGAATAAAATTCATCATTAACCCTGTAAAGCCTGAAATCATAGTAATAATAGTCCAATTTAAACATTTTTTTTTCAATATAAGAGTTCATTGAACCTTTTAAACCGATTGAAACTGAACCCTACTGAACCTAAAAATATATTTTTAAAAGTTTGTATACGGGTCAAAGACGAAAAAGGATTTAAGCATAAAAACAATACTGCTTCAAATAGTTGTTTTTCCAAAAAAAAAAAAGAAAAATTTAAAAGTTTTCGGTATAATGTAATTGTATTTTTGTTTTTGTTTTTCTGAGCAAAAAAAAATAAATCATAAATTTTCCCCTGATTTACAGAAGACACCCACTAAAATGCCATTCAGTGTAACAATCTTGTCAGGCATATTCTAGTGAATGCTAGCCAGCCATATAAATGCAAGGCAGTAAGCTCATTGGCTGCTTATGCAGCATGAACCAATCAGCTTGTAACAAGTCGTTTAACTTCTAGTGTTGTCAAAAGACCCGGTACTTCAGTACAAAGTCGGTACTAAAAAAATTTAAACGTTACGGTACCAGGTTTTTTTTTTTAAGTACCGGTGGT